CCTACAAAAAAAATAGTTATTTTGGGTATTAAAAAAACTCATTTAACCCTAAAATTTTTAGATACATTCTAGTAATAAAAACATATTTATGAGACAAATGAGTTTTTTCCCCGATATATATATATAGACAATGCTTTTTTACTTACAAAAAAAAGGGAAATATTCTGAACCGAGTATTTAACCACTTCAATCTGATATCAATCCAATTTTATCTGGTTTAGTCAAAACCACAAGATGTTTCAAAACCGATTTTCTGCTAATCAAAATCAAACCAGATAAACCTCAATTTCATCGGTTCACCTGGTTACTGAACCGATTAAACCAATGCTAAGCCCGATCCAAATCAAATTCGATAGTGGGAATGGGCTTGTAAGAAGCCCACCAGTTTTGCAAGGCAATATCAGGAGAATTCTCCCTTCTCTTGATTTGGGGCCAAATCGATGGGATCGGTGGATTTCGAAACATTGGTCTCCACATCGGACGTGGAGCTCTTGAAGAGGGCATGGCGTTAACGAGAAGGCAGCGCCGGAGATTCTTCAGTACGAAGCGGCTCTTGTCAATAGAGCCAAAGAGCAGATTGAATTCGTGGTAAACTTTCCTTACTTCTGTTTGGGTTCTCCTCAAGATTGAATTGCTTGAACCCTAATTTTCGCTGTCCGAGATTTCCAGAAAATTGCCACTAAACCAGACAAAAATTGCCAGGAAAATCTTAGAATAGTACCGCTTTTGTTTATAGTCGATATCCAATTGCTAGTGGAAAGAGTTTGCATCTCCAATTTTGGAAATTTTCAGTTTTGTGAAAAATGGAATCGAACCTCTGGTGGTGTCACTTTATCAGATGGTTTTGGACACAACTCAGTTTTTCTACTCAGATCATATTTTAGGGTTAGGCTTCTCAAGGTAAGCTTTTTTTTTTTTGTTTCTAAAGCTTTCCCTGCAATCTTTATTTCGAAGAGAGTGTACTGGTTAAGTTGCCCGTACACCTAAACCTAATTTATTTGCTATGCAGGACTCATATTCCATCTCAGTTGGTTAAGACAGTACCTAGAGTTGTGTGTTAGTGATGGACTATTGTAATTGTGGATTTTGGTGATTTACAGTGCCGCAGCCGCATTTGGATACTTTTTGTTGTTTGCAGAAGCAACAACTTTGTCTCCCTCAATCTATATTAAGAGTGACAAGTTTGCACTTTGCAAACTCCTTTCTTCATACACAACCTTTCCGTAATTTCAAGTGAGTTTGCGCTTTTTTGGCAGAGGAGTTAGCCCCGAAACCGTGGAGATCATGGAGCGTGGTGATCTCTACTTCGTACGTTACAAGATTCTGAAAGGGCCAATCGAATCTGGGAAAATTGACTTGATCTGAACTCAAAAGCTAGAGAGTGCAATGGACTTTTACTCAAATCTCTTTTTAAGTTTTTGATGGTGCTACCACTGTTCATGCTATATATGATCTTGAATCTCATGTTGCAAGCGAGGGATCTTTTTTGCGACTCCAAGCTACCAAGGATTAGAGACTCTTATCAATCAACACGATGAATAATCTTATGGACAAATCTACTTATCCTACAAAGATTCATGATAAATGATATATGCGATCATTTAATATTTTTGAGTAAAAAGAAACGAATCAAAGCGATTGAAACAAGTATTGTACATCATACATTTTTGTATATTCTGAATTTCTGATTACTAATCAAAATAAAAAGAAAGAAATAGCGAGAATGAATTTCAGACAATAATTACGAAATTCTATATTAAGTCAAACCAAACAGAAATAGCAAAATCTATTTGACATTAAAAAAGAATTCTATATATACAAGTCAAACCAAATAGAAATAGCAACAAATCCAAGACCGAAAAAAAATACAGAAATAACATATATACTATATATAGAGACAAAAAAATCCTACCCTCTATCATTATATATACACACACATCTCATATCAATCATACAACAAACAGTAGCCTCATAATCTTGTTGCGTTGAAGAAAAAACACTCTGCAAGAAAAAAATGGCGGGAAACATGAGTAA